GGCCTCCCAGAGTGCTAGGATTAGAGGTGTGAGCCACCACGCCCGGCCCCTCAGTACTTTCATACCTTAATTTGTTCCCACTAAGATATTCTTCTTGAGAATCATATTATAGGATTTCTTAAAAATGAAACCACCTAAGACATTTATGATATTTCATTAACTACGCTTACTAGATACATGATGTAGAGAGATGCCTTATACAAAGAAGTCTATAATAAATTGTTTCTGATATTCTAATATAATTTGCAGACATATCTAAGACTGAGTGTAAATTTTTAAGTCTTTTCATCTTAAAAATACATCTCCTTCCCAGATGTATTACAAACCCCAAATTAAAGACATCTTCCTTTTCTTTTATATTCTTAAGAAAGCTCATTCTATAGTTCTGTAAGCATTAATGTTGCTAACATAACTGCCGAATCAATGCCACTCCACTCCTTCTTTCTAGAAGTGGGGTCCTTTCCTCAAGAAAAAGTGCTATGAGCCTATGTTCTCCTTCCTGATGCCCGAGCCCACTCACTGGTCATCGGTCTCCATGGTGCCACCCCGTCGAGCCTCGCCCTGGATGGATTCCATGGCTGTAGAATAGAGAGCCTTTTGGGGGGCTGGTCTGCGAGTGTCAACCAAGTACTGGGTTTCACTGCTTAGGACCTCTCGTTGTGCATGATCTATGTTGTGGATTGACATCAAGAGGCTATAGTCCATTATCTTGAAGCTCTGCAGTACCTAATGGAAGGAAAAAAACATGATCTGAGCCTTGGAGGAATATAAGGATATTTTTCAGGATCTGACAGCTTTCATGATCTAATTATTACTGATGGTAACCTCCAGGGCTAATCACAGGATTATCTTTTGCTCCTCCTACTTCTTGGAGAAGAGTATGTTAACCTTCTTTCATCAGTACTTACATCCCCTTAGCTGGCTCTCATTTGAGTAAATACAAGTTATTTTTTCATGTCCCACTGCCTAGCCCAGTGGTCACCAACCTTTTTGGTACCAGGGACTGATTTTATGGAAGACAATTTTTCCAGGGACTCGGGGGAGGATGCAGGGTGTGTGTGTGTGGGGGGGGGTGTTGGCAGAGCTCTGCAGCCTGGTCCCTAACAGGCCGTGCACTGGTACTAGGGTTTGGGGACCACAGGCCTAGCCGATAAGACCTTCTTTGTTCTTTTCATGAAAAGAACACTACATTCTCAAGCGAACAAGGAGGGTCAGGTAAAAGTATACTTTGTGACACAGTAGATCTGTTGCAGGATCTGATATGACCAGCTCCAATTTAGTTCAACATTTATTGAATACTCACCATGTGTAGGCACTGTGCCTGCTTATAAGGATATAAAGATACTTGAGAAAGAGTTTCTGTCCTCGAGGATATTATAAATTTAGAAAGTGATACAAATGCAAAATAAATGCAGTATAGTCTAATATGTACAATAGTAGAACTGTTTACATGATAGAGGGGTACAGAAGAGGTCAAGAAATGATATCTGAGACAATGATGTGATATGTCACATTAAGGAGCAGGGACTACACATCCTATTGTTCTCAACCCTTTCTGCACCCCAGAATAAGGTGGCCAAGAGTATACTCCTATCAGTTCCAGTAGCTCATTTTGGCAGTGCAGCTCAACCAAGTACTTCTTGGTACGTGGTGGAATAAGGGATGAAGAGAGCCTGGCATTGACTCTCGGGTGCAGTATGAAAAACCTATGGCCCCAGTGGTTGAAAAAGTCTCCAATCCTTTCAATCAAAGGAGACAAACTCAAATAGGCATTATCCTAAAAAGAGATGCAGAGTGAGCAAACAAGGTTAAAGATGGATAACATTATGCACTAAGTAGAGGAAGATAATCCCACAAAAGCAGTTTGGATTAAAAAAAAAGCAGAGATGCAGAAAAACCAGTAGGGAAAGGTGTCACAAAAACCAGAAGAAAATATGTTAAGAAAAGTGGAAATAGTCAACTGTCAAATGCTGCAGAAAATTCAAGAAAGACTGAGAAGTACTCTCTATTTGACATCTAGCTGGTCGTTGGGAAGAGCAGTTCTTTTGAAGTGGTGAGAGCAAAAGCCAGGACACAAAGTTGAGGGAGGAATAAAAGATGAAAAAGAAAAAGGAGAAATTGGCCGGGCGCAGTGGCTCACGCCTGTAGTCCTAGTACTCTGGGAGGCCGAGGCGGGAGGATCGCTCAAGGTCAGGAGTTCAAGATCACCCTGAGCAAGAGCAAGACCCC